ATAGGTTTTCTTAAATGTGAGGTGAATTTTACATATTTATTATTCAAACACATTAGTTGTATATCCTTTCTACACATCAGTTCTTCAAACAGTTGAAGATTGTTAATTGTATTGGCTAACTGTTAGGGTTAACATACCAAATATTCTCTTTATTTTATTATGAAAAGTAATGAAAAATAATGCTAGATACCATTATAATGTTCTTGCACTTATGTAGTGTTTCCTGTCAATGTGACATCCAGACTAGGATTCTATCAGTGTGTAATGTTTTGTAGTGTATACTCTGTCTTCACATGCATTGTATACTAGGTGAACTTTAGGTATATGTGTTTGTACATTGTATATAGTAGATTTGGGCCTAAATGCTGTAGTAATTTTAGATATAGTATTTCAGCTAGTTAATATTTGTTTTGCAATTGTGATGACAGTTGTGTTTTTTTTTCTTCTTGACCCATTGCACATATGACTAACTGAAGTTGTCATGTGTTCTCAAGGATAATTTAAGTGAAAGGGATTTGTGAAAATCTGACAGATACTAACTATAACTGAGCTAGTAGGTAACACTATAATTTATTTATAGCTGTGTAATATAGTTATTAATGAACTAATATAGAGAGGCTAAAATTATTATATTTTATGTGAAATTATACTACATGACAAAGGTTGGCATTATGTAATAAGTACCCACAAAATATTAACCTACTTGCAATAAATACAATTAATAATGTACATAAAAGAATGAAATTAAGCTAATTTTCTATCAAAAAAGAATTATTCATGAACAGAAAGTGGACAGCATAGATTTGATGACAGGAAGGTTGTATCTAATCTGAATTACTGAGTGACCTAGGAAGCTTGCTCAGAGGAATTACAGAATAATTATGTTAATATGCAATTATCACCTCATTTCTTCTGTAGTAACCTCAAGATGTAGTGTAGTGAGGGTGTTATAGCAAGTGCTGATAGTTTGTGAAAATACTGATGTTTGAGATTTCTGAGACAATAAGTCTAGCTTGAGGCATATAAGTGATGATCTGTCATGTTGAAGACAGATCTGACCTTTGTACTTTTTTTTTAATGCTCACAGTATATATAACTACAGGCAGTTATAGCTGTAGAACTCATTATGATTTTCTAGAAACTGAAATGTTTTATGTAGATTTAAAATTCCATTTGCAGCTTTTTATAAAGTGTAAATTTTTTTAAAGAACATTTTAAAATTCAGTTGAAGGAAAGATTCTATAGTTTATATGATTTTACATAGAGATGGACATAGTAATAATGTCTAAACATTTTATGAAAAGATCCTAATTGATACAGCAAATCCAATGAAATTTAAAAAATTGAAACAACAGAACATTATTTTATTAGTTTCCCTTTTAAAACATAATGAATAATGCTTACCTTCAAATAATGTTCCCTACTTCATATTGGCATAAATTTGTATAGATGGCTCTGTTACATATATTTACCAATATAGATGTAGCTTGGGTGGGGGGGAACTATTTGAGATGGTGTGAGATTAGCTATAGTGCAAATCTTTTCTTTCCTGGAGGACATTTAACCATTTCTTAATGTGGGAAAATTTTTATGTTAAAATTTTAGATCCGTTATTCAGTGCAGATTTTTATACTCTCTTATTCTTCATTGTATCTCAGTACAATGCTTATGATTCTTGAGTAGTATTGAAAATATATTTTGAGCATTTTTAAGTCAAAATATATTCTGAAATTTAACAGAAAGTGTCTTTCAGGCTAGCTTTTTAAAAATCCTCTCATCCATGTCAGATTTACGATGTTCCTGTTAGGACATTTTATACTTTAAACCTGGAAAAAAAATTTATTCTTGTGTAAATACTAGCTTACTGAGTTAATTTCTTAACAGCATATTTTAATTATTAATGTGCTAATAAAAATCTTTTTTCTGAAAAAGAATAACTTTATTTTTGACTAGTGATGATTAATTTAGGAGCAGGTAAACCGTATTTCATTATGTAGGTGTGAAGGAAAAATTTTGATAAATACATTTTGTATTTTAACAATATTTAATTTGATCTTTTGTCTTTTTGCTCATTGTGTTTCATAGGTAATAGATTTGTTATACATTTATACACTTTTTTTATGTTTTTGAGAAAAGTATCTTCAGAGTGTGAACTATGGGAAGCTCTTATAAAGCCATTCTGGTAATGAGGAGGCAGTCTCCAAACCAACATGATATTCTCATAGTTTTGTCACCCTGCTGTTCAGGGGGTACCAATGAAGTTGCTTTAAATGGGAAGCGTCTGTTCCATCTCTGAACCTCTAACACCAGAACAGATGGGTGGAACATGGAACATGGAAGGCTTTACCTCTGAGGTGGTAACAGTGAAACCACTCATTAACACTGAATTTACCACTTCGTTAGCAACGTTGCTTCCTGTTGAGAAAAGCTAATACAGGCTTTCAAATTGAGCATATATTTGTCTACCTCTATGATAATAAAAAATAGGAAGGAACAGAAAGTGTCTTTCAGGCTAGCTTTTTAAAAATCCTGTCATCCATAACGATTTTTGATACTGTCCCTTTTAGAACATTTTATACTTGTATTTTTTACCTACTTTAATGAGAAATAACAGGAATGGGTAATAGTGTAGCATTAACGTTTGCTGCTTCTTTACATTAACATTTACACTCTTTCCTAACACATGTTTATGTGCTGCCCATTTTTAACTTCTGTGTATGTGATATAGAAACTCCTGCTGGGTGCTGCATTAGCACCATTTTGGGGTGATATCATTGAATATGATCTTATTGGAAGTCTATTTTTATTACTGTGGGAGTTTGTCAATCTCAAAACAGAATTCTAAAATCTTGAGGAATAGAAAGTGATTGTTGGTACAAATACTAATGTGTAAGAAATGCATTTGTAATGTTTGTTATTCAAAGAACACATTTTATAAAAAGAATAATGTCATTAGTAAGATTTGTAAGTGCTTATTCTAACTGTGGAATAAGAAGCATAATTAGAAGCAATTCTTTTATTGAGCTAGATACGAAATTTTATAAAGCAAAGCATGTAGTTGGTACTATAAAAGATAGAAAATAATGAACTTTCTTGAAAATGTTTTAATTTCTTAATATTGAGTTACAAGTTCATGCTGTCACACATTATACACGAATCATTTCATTATACAAATGAAAAAATACATTTAAAGACAAATGTAAAGCGTTTACTCTTGATCTGAAAGCATGAATGTTGTGTGTCTTTCTTACTACTGTATTCTTAGTACTAGAACATCGCTTGGCACACAGTAAGGACTCACAAATATTTGGAGAATGAATAAACTATAGTTACTGTTATGTATAAAGGAAAAAGAACTGTGGAACTTTATGCAAGTACTTCACATAGTTAATACTTGAGGTTCTGCAAACTGTACATGAATATTATTGGATATATTGAGGACCTGCCCACAATTGTTGAATGTAATCATAGACAAGATGGAATTTGAATTATTTTAATGGGGTATCAACTTTCATTGGAAGAAAACTGGTTTTCTTCTTTACTTTAGGAACTTTTGCTTCGATTTTGCAATTGTGATTTTATTCAATGCTTTAGTCTTTTATTCAACGATTATTGCCTGAGGACTTAGGCCAACCATTTTATGAGTTCTATAGATAGGATGGAGACTAGCTCATGGTTCTCTCTTCAACGATGTCCATTCTTCCAAGGAGACTGGCAGTTCCTATACACTGAGGCCATTTCTAAAGGTAGAATAAGAACGGGAAACTCATCATAACAGGGAATAATTATAGCCATCATACTGTATGTCTCTGAAACTTTCAGAAGTCTCTTTTCCTCTTAAAATGTTTAGTTTTCTTCCTATAGGATTAAATGTATTCTCAAATGTCTGATAAAATTTTATCTAAATTTCATATGAGTAAACTCAAAAAAACTTAATGTATACTTATGATGTTTCAGAGTAAAATTTTTTATATTATTGCAGTCTGTCAGATCAAAATGGGATAATAGCCTTTTGGATTATGGAAGTTTAAAGTAATGTAAAACTTCGTTAGTTTGTGACTTCAGAATTTAGAATTAAGGATAATTTTTTTAAGTTGATAGAACTTTTTTAGGAGAATGTAAAGTGTTTAAGAATGAAGTAATCTTAATTTTTTTAAAAGTAAGAAGTGTTCTTTCATACATTAGCTATTGATGTTCATAACAAATGTGTTCTTCATGTAAGATTATTTACTGAGTGGTATTTTTCTTACTTTCCTCAAAAAATAAATTTTTAGTGACAAAATTTATTTCTGCAGTAAGAATTTATATTATTCTCTATTTAGAATAACTGTCCCTAGTAAATCTACTTAAGATCATTTTTTTATTAGCAATCTTTATGTGAATTTTTTAAAGTTTGTTTTCTGTCTTTTAACATACTAATTTATCTAGCTTATGTCTCTCTGTGGATTTACGTTGCTTTTCCCTATGTATTTTGTATATATGAAACATTGGGTGGTTGTTGCCTCACACAAAGAAAAAAAATAACCTTCTACACATTTTTGAAATCTTTCCTTTTTTGAAAGTATTTCTTCATTCTGGGAAAATTATTCCCAATTTTCCATGTAAAGATTAGAATTAAGGGGCCTCCCCGGTGGCGCAGCGGTTGAGCGCCGGGTTGCGAAGCTGCCCGCAGCCTCTGCAGCGCCGGTTCGATCCCCGGCTGCTCCCCGGCCACCGGAGGAGGGTCCCACATGGCGCGCAGACCTCTCCTGCCGCCCGCTGCTCTCCTCAGCAGTGTGCTTCGGTCCTTCTGCCTGCTCTGCTCCCCGCTCTGGCTCTGGTGAATTCTCTCACCCTCCCACACTTCTGACTGTACCCACTGCTTGTATAAATAAATAAATAAAAATAAATCTTAAAAAAAAATTAGAATTAAGCTAATAAAAATGTGTATTTTCAACTTCCATGCATTCTAATGGTATTCTTTCCCATGCAAATCTAAACTTTTTTTTTCCATTTTCTAGAGTAAATGTGTTAAATGGGCTTGCCAGCAATATGGATGATTTGAAGACAAACACCGATATTTCTGGTGCTAAAGAAGAACTCCTGGATGACAGCAGTTTTATCTCAGACGAAGAAAGCGGAGTTCATACACCAAAAGATTGTCAAACATCATTTCAGAAAAACAATACCTTCACTCTGCCTGAAGAACTGTCAAAGGACAAATCTGAAAAAGCCTTAAGTGGAGGCCAGTCTACTCTATTTATACATGCTGGTGCTCCTACTGTTTCTAGTGAAAACTTTATCTTGCCTAAAGGAGCTGCTGTTAATGGACCAGTTTCACACTCCTCCTTAACTAAGACTTCCAATATGAATAAAGGCAGTGTTTCATTGACTACTGGACAGCCTGTGGATCAGCCAACAACAGAATCTTGTTCAACTTTGAAAGTGGCAGCTGATCTTCAGCCATCCACACCACAGAAAGCAAGTCAACACCAAGTTCTATTTTTGTTATCAGATGTAGCACATGCGAAGAATCCTACCCATTCCATTAAAAAACTACCTACCTCTGCTTCAGTTGGTTGTGACATTCAGAATTCAGTAGGGAGTAGTGTAAAATCAGATAGCACTTTAATAAATCAAGTAGAGGTGGGTGAGAATAGGGAAGATTTATTGGTAAAGGATGATTGTGTCAATACATTAACAGGAATTTCCTCAGGTACAGATGAATTTAGGTCAGAAAATGATCCAAACTGGGATCCCCAAAAAGAATTCATTCAGTTTCTTATGACTAATGAAGACGCAGCGGATAAAACTCCAGGTCACTCTAAAGTTGGTTTAGAAAAAAAGAGAAAGCGAAAAATGGATGTAAGCAAGATCACCCGTTACACTGAGGATTGCTTTAGTGATTCTAATTGTATACCCAATAAGTCAAAAATGCTAGAAACAGACTTCCTGGAACAGAATGAAGAACTGCAAGCAATAGACTCACAGAAATATACGTTATCAAAAGTGAAGCCTGAATCAACTGATGAAGAGTTGGAATCTGTGGATACTTTTCAACATCTAATTTATAACCCAGATAAGTGTGGAGAAGACAGTTCACCTGTTCATACTAGCACTTTCCTTTCAAATACCTTAAAAAAGAAATGTGAAGAAAGTGATTCTGAGTCACCTGCTACTTTCAGCACCGAAGAGCCATCATTCTACCCCTGTACTAAGTGCAATGTGAATTTTAGGGAGAAAAAGCACCTCCACAGGCATATGATGTATCATTTAGATGGGAATAGCCACTTTCGCCATCTTAATGTTCCCAGACCATACGCTTGTAGAGAATGTGGACGGACATTTCGAGATCGTAACTCACTTCTAAAGCATATGATTATTCACCAAGAAAGAAGACAGAAGTTGATGGAGGAAATTCGTGAATTGAAAGAACTTCAGGATGAAGGAAGAAATGCACGATTACAGTGCCCTCAGTGTGTGTTTGGTACCAACTGCCCTAAAACATTTGTGCAACATGCTAAAACCCATGAAAAAGATAAAAGGTACTACTGCTGTGAAGAGTGTAACTTCATGGCAGTGACAGAAAATGAATTGGAATGCCATCGAGGCATTGCCCATGGAGCAGTGGTAAAATGTCCGATTGTCAATTCTGACATAACCCAGAGAAAAGCGCAAAAAAAGGCTTTCATGAAAGACTCTGTTGTAGGATCATCCAAAAAATCAGCTGCCTATGTATGTAAGATGTGTCCTTTCACTACTTCAGCCAGAAGTATTTTAAAAAAACACATGGAGTACTTGCATTCATCATCATGTGTTGATTCATTTGGTAGCTCTCTTGGACTTGATAAAAGAAAAAATGACATCCTAGAAGAACCTATAGATATCGATAGCACTAAACCTTTAAGTAAACAGCAGTCAACCACATTTCCAAAGAACTCTGCTTTAAAACAAGATGTAAAGCGAACATTTGGATCATCCTCACAATCAAGTAATTTTTCAAAATTCCATAAGCGGACAAACAGAATACAAAAAGCTCGGAAAAGTGTTACCCAGTCAGGTGTAAATGTGTGCAATCAAAGCAATTCTCACAAGACTGTTATGATTAAAAACAGCGTTGACCAAAAACCCAAATATTTCCATCAAGCAGCAAAAGAAAAATCTAATGCCAAGGCAAATAGCAACTATTTTTATAGACACAAATATGAAAACTATAGGATGATCAAAAAATCAGGTGAATCGTATCCTGTGCATTTCAAAAAAGAAGACACGAGTTCACTAACTTCTTTACATCTGTTTTCATCATCAAACAATTCTCACAATAGTTTTATTTCAGACCCGCATAACTCTGACACCAAAAGGGCAGAAAACTTCAAAGACCATAGGCGTGTAGCTGCAAAGAGAGTAAAAGAATCTAAGAAGGGAAGTTCTGCTGGAGGAGAAGACTTGGATAGCTATCCAGATTTCTTGCATAAAATGACTGTTGTTGTTTTACAGAAACTTAATTCTGCCGAAAAGAAAAATAGCTATGAAACAGAAGATGAAAGTTCCTGGGATAATGTTGAGCTAGGTGACTATACCACACAGACCATAGAAGATGAAACCTATAATGATATTAATCAAGAACATGTAAATTTATTTCCTCTATTTAAAAGCAAGGTGGAAGGTCAGGAGTCTGGAGAAAATACTACCCTTAGTTATGATCAGAACGATGGTTTTTATTTTGAATATTATGAAGATGCTGCAACTAATAACTTTTTGCATGAGATACATGATCCTCAGCATTTAGAAAATGCAGAGACTTCATTGTCAAAGCATGGTTCTGTCTTTCATTGGACTGATCTGTCTCTGGAGAAGAAATCATGTCCTTACTGCCCAGCAACATTTGAAACGGGTGTTGGGTTGTCAAATCATGTCCGGGGACATCTTCACAGAGCAGGATTAAGCTATGAAGCCCGACATGTTGTATCACCAGAACAAATAGCCACAAGCGACAAAATGCAACATTTCAAAAGAGCTGGCACAGGGACACCTGTTAAGCGAGTTAGAAAAGGTAAGTTCCTGTAGATCATTTGGGCTAATTGTCCTTATTCAAATTCGAAGGATTTGAAGGTTTTATTTGAATTGGTCTTTATTATAGTCACATAATTTCACATGTCAGTTAATTAGTTTTAAGGTGGTCAATTTATTTTTAAAATTCTGATATAACTCTTACAAAAATTTTTTTTAGCTATAGAGAAGTCTGAAACCACTTCAGAACACACTTGTCAGCTCTGTGGTGGTTGGTTTGATACTAAAATTGGATTGTCAAATCATGTTAGAGGCCACCTGAAAAGACTTGGAAAGACCAAATGGGATGCTCACAAATCTCCAATCTGTGTTCTGAATGAGATGATGCAAAATGAAGAAAAATATGAAAAGATCTTAAAGGCATTGAACAGTCGTCGTATTATTCCCAGACCTTTTGTAGCTCAGAAACTTGCATCAAGTGATGACTTCATATCCCAAAATGTTATACCTCTTGAAGCATACCGTAATGGCCTAAAGACTGAAGCTTTATCAGTGTCTGCATCCGAGGAAGAAGGTCTGAGTTTTTTAAGTGAATATGATGAAACAAAACCAGAACTGCCCAGTGGAAAAAAGAATCAGTCTCTCACACTGATAGAACTGCTTAAAAATAAAAGGATGGGAGAAGAAAGGAATTCTGCTATTTCTCCTCAAAAGATACATAATCAGACGGCAAGAAAGAGATTTGTTCAGAAATGTGTTCTTCCATTAAATGAAGACAGCCCGTTGATGTATCAACCGCAGAAAATGGACTTGACTATGCACTCAGGTAAGAGGACACTTATGACTATCTCATTTAAGATCAACAAATATTATTATGTTTACTTTACTGGAATATTTGTAGAAAATGCTTTTTCAGAATCTTTTATTTAAGCTGCTTTTTTTGCAGAACAGAGATTGGTTATACTCTCATTTCTATATAAATCTTCAATTGATGCTCATCAGCACTGAATTCTGTGTGCCTCATTACTTGGTCAGAATGTAAGGTGAGAACTAAAGCATAAACAAACAGCTGATCTGTAAAAATGAAATTTGCTGTGGCCTGGGTGGTTCTGTGGCTGGGAGGTTGACGTTGAAAAGCATAGCATTACTGAAAAGGCAAACCTTTGTCATATGTTTGCTAGTTCTTTAAAGTGACAATGTTCTCAAGATTTAGCTGTTGGTTTTCCTACTGCTTTGGTAAAACAAAACAAAACAGACTCTCTAAGCCGAATGGATTGGTGTCTGATGTGTGTTGTGATTAACCCAAAGAAACTTCTCTCCAATTCCTCATTGTATTGTGGGATAGTTTAGTTTTGGAAAACTGTTGTGAGTATAAAACATATTTGTCTGAGGTTTTAAATTTTCCATTGGTGTACTAATGGACCGAATGGGTGGTTTGGCTTAGTGCTTGTGCACCAGCAGTTTTTCCCTTTTCAAATGAATATTTTGTATTTCTTGGCAAATGATGTAGCGGTTGAAGTAGCCAAGCCTTATTTGGTATTGTTAAGTCTGTTTTATACTTTTAGACTTGAACAATTTTAAGTGTCTGTAGGTTCCTTTTGGTGGTTAAGAATGTTGGATATTAAGTTTGATGTCTCACAATTTTAGTACGGTGTCGAATGTAATTGATGAATGGATTAATAAGAAGTTACTGTCATGTCAATTTGTTTACTTTGGGCAGCTACTGGGATATCTAACTATTCTTCAATGCAGTTTTGATACAAGGAAAAGTTACTGGTATTGCAGTAGTATGAAAAACAGTTTATTTTGTATGGGCTTCTGGTTAACGGGCTTCTGGTTAATAGAGCTCTTTCTCATGTGAATAGTCTTTCAAAGTCAATTTTTCAACATTTTCCAGGAGGATAAAATGTAAGGAAGATGTGTTAACTGTGTTGAACAAGGTGCAGTACACTTCAGAGAGGTAAAGCATATTTGTGGCTATCACGATAATGTTGAAGAAACCAATTGAAATGTGTGGAGGGAATGAGGGTTGTCTGAGAAGTTAGGAGTTTCTTATTGTTTCAACTGTTTTCTTTCCTGTGATGCCTAAAATGTTAGCTTGTTGATCATTTATTTAGCACAAAGATTTTAGCAAAAACTTCAAATCATTAACTTTCATTATTGATTGCGCATTCAGAGTAATGAACATAAAATGCCCTGAATAAAATGTTGTGTCTAACAGCTGTTCAGTGGTGTGTTTTACCACCTTTTCTCCCAGCCTTCATCAGAAAGCCTAATTTAGTATTGAGCCTTTTACGGTTTTGTGGATAAAACACTTTAATTACCACTTTGTCAACTAGACTTTTTAATTCTTTTTATTGGTGATGTTGTAAGCTTTGAAACTTCTCAACAGAACTGTGCTATTCAAATCACAGGATTGTATTTTAGGTTTAGGAAATGATCTGCGTAACACAGAAATCTGCAAGAAAGTGATAATAGGTGTTAAATCCAGAGAAGTTCAGAGGTTCAAGACATTCCTCTTCCACCTTTCCAAAGCATGGGTTGGCTCTAAATACTAACTACAAACTAACAGTAGTTAATTTGACTCCCCCTCCCTAGTTTAAGTTACGCTGATTCAATGACCGTTTTTTAAAACCACCTTTATTATGGTACTTTTCACGCTTTTAGCTAAGAAAATTTCACTTTTTGAAGTGAGAACTGGATTATAGTTTTCTTTTGAATGATAGGTATGCCTGTGAAGCTTAGAACATGTGTGCATTGCAATACGACGTTTACAAGTGCTGTTAGCCTGTCCAACCACTTACGCGCTTATGCACGAAAGAAGAGTGCTGGACTTTTGACTGGTACAGGTATGTTTGAACAGATAACACAGCAAGCCTGTTTGATACAGTACACATTTTTTTCTCACCGGATTGGTGCTAATTCAGATGATATTTATAGCTTTCTTTGGTAAGCAACAGTTGAATCTGAATACACATTAAATTTCAGCAACTTGTAAACCGTTAGGTAAAATTTTAAGCAAGTTACTCATTTTCCTTTGGCTCTTATTGGCTTGATTTTTGGGGAAAAGAGCCTACTGGAGGTGTGGAACTTTTGAGTCTACATTCTTCTCAATGATTTTTAAATTAGACCTTTTTTCATTTTTTTTTTTTTTTAAATTTATATTTGTTAGGTGATTCCAATAAGACACCTCTCTTTGGTTAAAAGAGATTGTGGTTCTAGATTGGGAAAATGCTTTTATCAAGAAAGGAAATTATAGTGAAATTTCAAGTGTGTGGCTTGATTAGAAAACTAAGCAAATTAATGAACTTTCAATAGTCTTCAGAATCTTTGGTTGGCAAGTCTTTCTTAATAATGGCCCATGCACCACTGACTAGGTTCTTTTAATGCCCCCAAACTGTAGTTAGGATTAATAAATATAGCTATGCGCTTAAATATTAACATGCACATTTCTGTGTTATTTTGGGTTGGTTAGCCCAGCCTTGCAGATACCTCTTCCTACTACTGGCCTATGACAATTTTATTAGTTTACTCATATGTAATAACTGCTTCTTAATCCCTCTAAAATGCCTTCTTCTTTTCATTTGTAGCGTTTCAAGCTACCGTGCTTTAGCAACTCTATTTCTCTTGTATCTTAAAATATATGTTCTTTTCTAAATGGATCTCCATAAATCCTTTTGCCTAAAATTCTCTTCTAATCTTTTTATTTCTCTTGCTCTTTTAAATCACTGCGTTCTGCTTTCTTCTAGTTGTTGTTTTCCCAACTTTTTTGTTCTTCCTCACGTCTTCCTATGGCTTTACATCCAGTATGTTCTTGCCACCAAAGAAACACTTGTGTTCATGCTAGTATCTTTCTTCTGCTTCTTTGCTTTATCCTTTGACTTGATATACAAATGAGCAAGGATGGCTGTTGACCATCAATATTAGGAGGAGGAGGAGAGAGTGAGTTTTGCTTTGCTGGAATAGCCCTCTTACTGTGGGGCTATTCCCCCACAGTATGATATTCCCACCTTCATCAGACTTGGAAGGTGATTGCAGACATTAGAGGCTGCAAAGCAGTGAAAATAAGAGACTGTAGAAACGTGAAATCACTATTATTGTTATCATAGTCACTCTTACTGAATACTTGCTTTATGTCAGAAGCTATACTGTGGTGCTTACTTGCTAAATATTTAATCTTCACAACCACCATATGAGTTATAGGTGCTATAATTCTTTTCATTTTATAGGATACTAGGACTTAGAGAACTTAAAGCAAGTTGCCTAGACATCTACAGTTAATATTAGGAAAGTTGAAATTCAAATCAAGGTTCTCCTATCCTAAATTTTTTGTTTTTAATCAGTATTATTATATACATAATGAAAGCATTTGAATATCCTAAAATGAAGGTGGGTTTGAGCAGGGTAGTATTATGGTGAAGACAAGAGTCTAATTAGAAAGTATAGGAGTCCGGGCCTCCCCAGTGGCGCAGCAGTTGAGCGCTGGGTTGCGAAGCTGCCCGCGGCCTCGGCGGCGCGGGTTCGATCCCCGGCTGCTCCCCGGCCACCGGAGGAGGATCCCACATGGTGTGCAGACCTCTCCTGCCACCCGCTGCTCCCCTCAGCAGTGTACTTCAGTCCTTCTGCCTGCTCTGCTCCCCACTCTGGCTCTGGTGAATTCTCTCACCCTCCCGCGCTTCTGACTGTACCCAGTGCATGTATAAACAAAACAAACAAACAAATATAATAAACAAATAAATAAATAAAAAAAAAAAAAAAAAAGAAAGTATAGGAGTCCAAGAACAGTTAGACCTGAATTACATTTTAGAGGATATTAGAAATGTTCCATTCTGATTATTCAGGCAGATTATACAAACTTTCAGCAAAGCAGATCTCCCCAGTCCAGATTTTATTCTAGTCCATTAAAAAGTGCTTTACCTCATCTGAAAATTCTTCAAAACAGGATTAATTGTTCAGTGACCTACCTTCATTGACCAAGAGTACACTTTAATGAATGCTATATAAACTAAAAAATGTCATTAATAGAAAAAATGAGGACATATACCAAAATCACTAAATACTAACCAAAATGTTAGAAGTGTTAAAAAATATAGAGTGTGTGCTTGGCAGTTTTAGGACAAAGAAAAATGAAAATTTGAAGAAAGTTGGGAGGAGGCAGGGAGTATTTTCCACAGCTGATGCCCACATAGAAGAAACAAACAAACTTATGTTCCCTTTCCTTGGAAATTTTGAAACTTTCCCTGGATTTTTAAAATGTTCTTGACTAGTAGAGCTATGCAGATGTCTGCTGCTTATTCATGCCAATTAAGATTTTTTTTAATCAGCTTTATTAATTTTTTTTGTTGACCAAATGTAGAGTTCTATATTGTATTTATAAATTCCACATGCTTATACTCTTCCCCACTGGCATATTCTAAACTGCTACAAAGCAGTGGTCCTAACCTGTCATCTTGGAGGGTTCCACTGGGTTATTATTAGAAATTCATCAGTTCATGTGAATAAGAAGCATTATTGTTCAAGAATATATAGATATATGATATTTTGATGAATAAAAAGCATTCCTCTCTTAAAATCTTTACATTAATCCAAGTTATCACAAAACTGGAATAATGTAAAGGGAAAATAGGAAGGAATAAAGCTTCCATAAGAATGTCTAGTATTTGGTCTCAAGCAATTTTCATTTATGTGGATTTTAAATGATGTGACCCACTCTTGAAGGAAATACTTAGATATTCCTAGGCTAAAGACCTGCTTGATGACCTGTGATAGAAGAATCTATAAGCTTTCTTAGAAGTGCCCAACCCCCTGTCTTCTGTAGGAACTGGT